AATAAGCTTGCAGACACCATATACGTGGAAGTAAATGAAAATAGAAAAGAGAAAAAAGACAAAGACAAGAGATGCAAGAGACTAGGTAAACTAGACTCTGATGAGAAAACCCATCATAATAGTATAATCACATATAAAACCATGCTGAGCATGCCTGTGGACTAAGCAAGGCCCGGGTGAAGGACCCGAACCCGGAACCAGAAAGCTTGTTCTTCTTATTCTTCACCTTGATTGGTTCCAGCGCTGCACCATCCATCCTTTTGGGCACGGATAGGTGGGCCCTCCACTAGTCTTCTTCTGCGGAAACTCCATCACATGCGGGCACCGTTTTTAAAAATGAAATTATTCAGCGGTCAAAGGTCAAAGGTCTCCACTCCATTGAGTATCTCAAGAAAGTGCGTGATCAGAAAATCCCTTTCCTTTGTGTTACAAAGGAATAAAAGAATTAGGATCATTTAATCATGAACCGCCTATTCTTCTTCATTAATTTTATAATTACCAAAGGCAATCATGTACATTACTCTCTCTCTCTGTCTGCTGAGACACCATTTGGATCTGTCTTTATATATTCATATGAATGCTTATTTCTTTAATCCATGGTTATCAGAAACTTTTTTAAGAATCGAAGACAAAATGGTCGTTCATATATATATATATATATATATATATTATATAATTCGAAAGATTAAGAAATTCATTTATTTTATCTAAATTCGTCATGGGATTTTCTTATGATGACGCTCTTCTCTAGAATCCCCTTGCATAGAATATAATTAAGGGTCCGTTAATGACCATAAGTATCATCAGATATATGATTCATCCCCATTGAAAAGCTTCTTTTTTTTCCCAATTAAAAGATTAACTTTAAGTTTTTCTATATAAACTACGTTCAATTTCAGAAGGGAAAATGCAAATGCATTCCTCATCTTATGTTGCTATATTATCATTATCATTATCATTATTATTATATGCATGTAACCATTTCTTGACCCAAAAAAGGGCCGACATTGATTTTTCTAATCATATTTTTATTTTCCTCATCTATTCTTATTACATTTGATATACTTAACGAACAATTAATTAATATTCTAAAAACAATATTATTTTAAAAAAAATAATTTTTTGCAAGGTAAGATGCATAGTGACCACGTACTCGGCACCAAGTGTGATAATGTTAGCCTGTGCCTCAGGTAAAAGTATGCTTCAAATATTGTAAGATGCTAGTTATTAGACGTTGAAAGATGTCAAAAAAATCAATAGTCATTTTGAACTTTTTTTTAATTTAAAGACATGACATGTATGGCCCATATTAATCTTCGAAGATCTATATGATATAAATTATATTAAAAAATTATTATTATTATGTATAATTAAGTTATAAATAACATTACTCATTTTACACTTTGTGGTCGTGGAAAATGAAAATATAATGTAGTTAATTGGAAAAAGAAGGAACTTTGCATGAAAAGAGTAAAAAGGGCAACATTTGGGCTTTGTTTGATAAATATCATGGAGGAAAAATTGCCACAAAATCCCTTATTGGAAGGGAAATTCCTTCTGGCCAAACTAGATTCAAGGATCAAGCATGCACAATTGACCAAAATGTCCCTTTATGTTAATTAACAAATTTAAAAAATCCACAAAATAAGGCCACTAAAGCTCCATTTGCTAGAACTTTGGTCCCTTTGCTAACAAGCGACGGTGCACCTGCTAGAACTCTAGCCGGCTGGTGAAGGATCATCGATAAAAGTTAGTACCCTCTGATTATATGTAAATATCAAATAATGCATGAAAACTCAACAAGGGGTAATGTAAATGTTAATGTACTCCAAGCCTATAAGCTTACACTTTGCGCCCTACACCCCAAGCCTTATCTTATGTCTTGCACCTCAAGCCTATACCTTTGCACCCTAAATGTAATATCTGCCTATATATTACCAAGATAAAACCACCATTTAACTCAATCATGGAAAAAATAAATAGAAAACATTTTAAAAATTAGGATCCTAAAAAAAACTTTAAAAGCATTGGTTGAGCTCAACTAAAGTTTAAATTTAGAGTTTAAAACATCAAGGAACCATAAAAACAAAACCTAAAAAATTATTTAACATTGGCAAAACTACAATTTTACCCAAAAAGAGACAGCACATTGCAACATGTGTTGGTTGACTTGAAAAAATTCTAAGTATTAATTGGTTTCATATTTGAATGATTTATTCATCACCTTGCTATGTATAGTTCAGTATCCTATAAAATATTGTTAATTTTTCTACCTCTCTTGTCCATTACAATACTCTGAATTTACATGAAACTACATATTTATAGTTCATTTTTTCTATTAAATGCGGTTGCAAATAAACATAAACAACTAATTCATTCCTATCCAATGGCTTCTTCATATATACATAAAAAGAACATCCAAAGAACTTTATGACAACAATAACATGCCAAAAGTTATAACATTAACATTGTTAATAATTGAAAGAAGTAATTCAAGTTTGCCTTTTCTTGGCATTGTCACTTGCAAGGGGTTGCAGCACGGCATCATATTTTGCATTCTTCTTGTGATTCCCATCCAATGGAGTTGCAAAATCCCATGTGAGCTTCTTTTCTTAATGTTGACTCTATCATTAACTGGCTACTCTGTCCACTCCTTGATTGCTTCTACATAAAAAAAGTCCACCCCTTTCAACCAAGGGGATTTTTTGTAAGAAAAAATTGCACATAAAAAAGTCAAACAATGGAAATAAAACAACTATGGTGAAGGGATCAACAACTAAACATTAGGAAATGAATAAGTCTTCATACATGTCACTAACAAGTACATGCACCATCAATGTTTCTTGTGCCTCTAGGATGACCTAACTTTAATAACTATTAGTACTTCTCTATCTTTTTGCTCAGCTATTGCCTGATCAAATTTGTCTCAATTGTTACCAATGAACTTTGATACTTCCACCAGCTTATTGCTTACAAATGGATTAGCAGTAGCACAAAGTAGAGTATCAAACATATATAGTATGAATAAAGCCTCAAATTCAAGTAGGCTATTTAACAACTATTGTTTGGGTAATGAACAACACGACTCACCTAATTTTATCTTTGCTAATTTATAACGACTTATCTCAACTGAAATTTTGCCTCACTTTTGAACAAGATTTTGACAAGAGAAGTTTTATGAAATCAAAAGATTAACTTTTGCTAATTTTCCCTATATAAAATAGAGATTTCATCATGACTATGAAAGCAAGAGATAACTAACTTACATTGTTAGGTTCTAGTAGTTTGTTGCACGTTACCCACAGTTTTCTTCTATGAAATGCTCAACAGAACCCTCTTCTACGTCCAACTAAGGAAAAAAACAATGCCAACTAAAAGAAGTTATGAGGGTAGAGGCAACGATCGACAAGCTGGTGACTCGATCAAGGGAAATTCTTAGGTAGCAACTCCGACGACGAAGGTCACTAGTATAAAAATAATTTTTTACAGCAGTTAAAAATAACTTTTCACAACGATTAAAGAAGCAATGTTGTTCTAAGAAATGTAGAATGTCCCATCTTTCTATATCAATTATCCACTCGATGTAAAAACTAAAATTACTAAAATGTAGAAAGTTAATGTTGAAAACTATATACAAAAAATTAAAAAAATTACTTGGCACTTTTTACATTGGTTGGGCTTTTACATTAGTTGGAAGCGCAACTAATATAAAATCATGAGTTTTTACATCAGTTATAGTAACCAATGTCAAAACTATTTAATTTTTTTATACCATATTTATTTTATCGATTTTACTCATTTCTGTACATAGAAATTACCAAAGCCAAATCAAACAGTGTAATTCATTTACAATTATCTATCAAATATTTATCAACTATACAAAACTATTTAACTATTAAAAACTAACAATTGTCTAAATTGTATTAACTATCAAAATTAAAACTTATCTAAAACTAACAAACTTAATAAATTGTATGAAACATTTTATAAATCGAGAGGGAAGGGGAAGGGTGCTAGGCCGAGGAGGGGGGGGGAGTTGCAGTAGGGAAGGGGTGCAAGGGAGCAAGAAAATGAAGGAGGAAATGAGCAAAGAAGAGGGGTCAAAGTAGAGCAAAAGGAAAATGAAGGGAAAGGAGATAATGTAAGTTTTTGCTAGAAGAAAAAAGTGGGTAATTTAAAAAAAATTACACTAGATGAAGGGCCACCCAATGTAGACAATACATATTCTATATCGGGTCAACCTTCACCCGATGTAGAAAATGTACTTTCTACATGGGTATCTGGAAATGATGTAGAAAATACATTGAGTATATGTGCACTTGATGTAGAATATGTATTTCCTACATCAGGTGAAGAGTTACCTAATGTAGAAACTGCATAACACTTTACCAAAATTATAAAAATGCTACCGTCTTAAATTTTAACATTATTTTCCTTCCAACCAATGTAAAAAGTACCTCATAAATTTTATATTTTGTATTAGTGGGTGTTGCTCATCTTCAGAGTTGAAAGTTTGTGAAGCTTCACGACATGTGTTGTCTGTCTTAGCTTTTATGTGTTTGCCAAAATGCTTGTTGTGGTTGAGCAAAATTTTAGTTTTTTATTTTTTCTTACAATGAGAGGCAATATTGTCATTTGGATATGAAATTTAATATTAAATCAGTACCCTTATTTTATATTGATATATTATGAATTCTAAGGTTTTTTTTTTCAATATGTCTGTCAAGGGAGTTTTCAATGAGATTTTTCTCATTTTGTAGCAATTTCCCTGCCACGCACCACCTCAATGAGCGAAAATTTAAAATTAATTAAGTAATTGTAATGGATATACCCTTAAAAAAGCTAATTATGACGTGGATATTTTTTTATGTTTTAGTGTAGATTATCTCCACATGTCATTGCAGGGGCGAACATAACAATTATAATTTAATTGAATTTTTAAGTCCTTTAACGTCATTGCCTTCATAATGTAATTGCTTTTTATAAATTTTATCCAAACATTGAATCTATAATATTTATTTGAAAGTTAAAAACACCATTGTTCCAGTAAAATTCACATCTAGCAAATTTGTTACCATAACATGGAGGGAAAAAGCAAAAAGGATACAAGACATGGGAGAAAAGACGAAAGAGGAAATCTGATCTGCGCATTTGATAAGACATCAGGACTCAGCAAATTTTCTATATTTTTCCTATTTTCAGTTGAAAGCGGTGCTGCGATAGTTCTCCACAACATTCTCATTCAAGATTTGCAACACTCTCACATTTGCAGGTCCTACACATCTTGGTGTCTTGAACTGACTAACCGCACCTCCAAGTTCAAGGAAATGGTCCAGAATCTTCTGGAATGTTCCCTTCCGAACGACCCGGAGTTCGAGGTCCCCGATCCACCTCACTTTCCGAGCACTAACATAGCCTGCATCCACAAAGGACTTGTCCAGACAGTTGCAGCATTGTGTGAGCACTTGTTCACTTGCCTCCCCACTGATTTCCCAGAATATTACATAGTGCCCTGGCTCTGTGGATAAATCAACTTGGCTTGTGAAGTCCACAACTTCTACTTTATCATCTGCTAACACTTTTGCTGCTGCCTCTACTGCTAGCTGCAAATCCTTCTCTGTGTTCTTGTCGATGTTTATGGTTAGCAAAAGACTGCTCCGACGAACAAACTTGAGTTCTGGAGTTGAGTTGTGGAACCCCGTCACCTTCACCACATCCCCTAACCTGTATCTGTATAAGCCTGCAATCATAAAACAATATGTAAACATGTCAAACATATCTTTGCCGTGAATCATTGATGTCATTGATGTCACCAACCTATCTTCTACTTGAGAATCTATCGACTCGAGTCTAATAAATGTATGGTTTAGCTACTTCATGTCATTGAACTCAGATTAAACTTCCACGTTGAGCCATTCAACTAAGGTGAACATCTCTAAATTCTGATCATATAGAGCTTTCAACAATGTGAATAGTTTTTCCCTACAGAATCTCAAAGCCCTTTTACTCTCCAGCCAGTACGCGTTATTCTCAATAAAATATAGTCTACGAGAAGAAAATTATCAAAAACACACCAACCACTATGCCTTATCCCCCCCAAGAAAACAATAGAAAACTGGGAAAATCACAGGCCTATGATTTTCTCGGATAATTTAAGAAACTAGTCAATGCACGCCAAAACAGTATAAACAAATAAAAGTCAACAAGTAACTGAAGTAGCAGGTGGGAGAATATAATGATGAAAACAATAAGGGAACCATGAGCCCAACAAAAAGTTCTTCAAGTCCTTAAATTGAAACCTGATGAACAGGAAAAAAAAACAAATTCAGAGATTTACTAAAGAGGGATCTGCCTCATCATTAGTTACCTGCTGGGTTGGTTATGACAATCTCATACTCTTCTCCAACCTTCACTTCAGTGAGTCCTACAGGTTGAGGATCCTTACAGAACATAGCAGGCTCTCCCTCAGTCTTCTCCATCTGTGTGAGAGGGATGAACTCAAAGTAACCAATCTGAGGAAGCACTGCATAAGTAGCACATTCCGGGGGAACTTTTGGGTTAATATTCGCGGCAATCCAGCCTTCGGAAGAACCATAGTCTGCAGTCACCAATGGCAGCTTTCCTGCATAATGCCTCAGCTTCTTCAAATAAGGCTCCATAGATCCAGTCATGATCCCATACACATACTTTGCATTGGGGAAAAGCTCTGGTATTAGTCCATACCAGTTGCTCAGACCAACACATTTGCTATAAATCAGATCAGCTTCTTGGGGGTCTGGCTTGAGCAATTTTGCCATGGCTGCTCGGATGGAAGGATCAACGATTCTGCTTGTGAGGACCCCTTCTCGGATATCAGCACAGAGTCTGCTTGTGAGGACCCCTTTGATGTCACCCGTGAATCATTGATGTCATTGATGTCACCAACCTATCTTCTACTTGAGAATCTATCGACTCGAGTCTAATAAATGTATGGTTTAGCTACTTCATGTCATTGAACTCAGATTAAACTTCACAGTTGAGCCATTCAACTAAGGTGAACATCTCTAAAATTCTGATCATATAGAGCTTTCAACAATGTGCTATAGTTTCCTACAGAATCTCAAAGCCCTTTTACTCTCCAGCCAGTACGCGTTATTCTCAATAAAATATAGTCTACGAGAAGAAAATTATCAAAACACACCAACCACTATGCCTTATCCCCCCCAAGAAAAAACAATAGAAAACTGGGAAAATCACAGGCCTATGATTTTCTCGGATAATTTAAGAAACTAGTCAATGCACGCCAAAACAGTATAAACAAATAAAAGTCAACAAGTAACTGAAGTAGCAGGTGGGAGAATATAATGATGAAAACAATAAGGGAACCATGAGCCCAACAAAAAGTTCTTCAAGTCCTTAAATTGAAACCTGATGAACAGGGAAAAAAAAAAACAAAATTCAGAGATTTACTAAAGAGGGATCTGCCTCAATCATTAGTACCTGCTGGGTTGGTTATGACAATCTCATACTCTTCTCCAACCTTCACTTCAGTGAGTCCTACAGGTTGAGGATCCTTACAGAACATAGCAGGCTCTCCCTCAGTCTTCTCCATCTGTGTGAGAGGGATGAACTCAAAGTAACCAATCTGAGGAAGCACTGCATAAGTAGCACATTCCGGGGGAACTTTTGGGTTAATATTCGCGGCAATCCAGCCTTCGGAAGAACCATAGTCTGCAGTCACCAATGGCAGCTTTCCTGCATAATGCCTCAGCTTCTTCAAATAAGGCTCCATAGATCCAGTCATGATCCCATACACATACTTTGCATTGGGGAAAAGCTCTGGTATTAGTCCATACCAGTTGCTCAGACCAACACATTTGCTATAAATCAGATCAGCTTCTTGGGGGTCTGGCTTGAGCAATTTTGCCATGGCTGCTCGGATGGAAGGATCAACGATTCTGCTTGTGAGGACCCCTTCTCGGATATCAGCACAGAGCTCCTCCCAAGCTTGCTCAAAGAATCTGAAAGCGTGGACAATGCTATGTGCAAATGTAGAACCTACCCACTGAATTTCTTCTCTGAAGATTAGCCCACACAGTAGATGACAGTACAAAGATTGATGAAAATCAGAACCAAATATCACTTCATCCGGGCTGCTATATTGGGACTGAATCGCCTTCATGGAGCTCTTGTACCGTGGATCACGAAACAAGTTTGTAGTAGCAGTTCCAGCTATCAAGCCCCCTTTGGTTGTGCACTGCTTACTGCTGTAGATGAAGTTCAAGACCTTCCCATTTTCTATAGGAAATTGTCTGCAAAATGGAGAAGCTGTATTAGAACTGGTACTAAACTGATAATAAAATTATGCCTAGAGCCAAGTCCCTTTCAAGGGTATAAAGCGAAATCAATGATGAATACCTGTTCCTAAAGGCAAAGGAAGTCTGATAAATTTGCAATGTAGTATCAAACAATTCATCATTCCAAGGTACAAACTTTGGCTTCCCCTGAGTGGTGCCAGAACTGCAATAAAATCTCCAGACTCAAATTCAACCAATAAGCTGAAACAGAAACTTTGTGCGCTTAATTTGAAAACCGGAACTAATCTTTCATCATCGAATTGTATACCTTAGCGACATGGCTGTGATGGGTTTTCCAGTGAGAATAGATGAAGCATCGCCATCAATGGTCCTCTGTATATAGGGCTCCAAGTCTTTGTGTATAACTAGAGGGACACAAGCTTTGAAGCTGTCTGGATCAGTTCTTCCACTGAGACCCAGATTCTGCAAGTATTCTGCAGATGCGTTATCTTCCAAAATCTTTCTCAGAGTCTCCTTCTGAACGCTCTCAGCATCCTTTGTCAGAGCCTCAAAGTTCTCTATCACTTTCTCCATGTCAAACTGTTCTTCCTTCTCCAACATCCTCACGACTCAACAATTGCAGCTATTCACGAAAACAGTGCTTAAATCCATTAATAAATGCTCATACAGGTTGTAAGAGTGATATGGAGTAATGGTCAAAGTAGGAGAAATAACGCAGAAAGAGCCAAATATTGTTGTGTCGGGGGGAACAAAATAAATAAAACCGGAAGCTTGATCGCATTTTGATTTTCGGCCATCCTTTTCTTGCGGACCAAGATGAATAAAATTCAGAAAGATACAGGAAAACCAGAAGAATTTCAAGACGCAATAAAATTCATGTGGTGAACAAAAATCGAAAGATAAATATCAAAAACGAAAAAGTAAATGGTGAAAGCAAAGACAAAAAGTGGCCACGAGAAGCACGAACGCAGAAAGTAGCCTTTTCTCTGTGCGAGAGAGAGACAAGAGCCTGGTATCCAGCTAGTACACAGCGAATCCGAAATCCACAGTGTTAGGATAAAAGACGTTGTTTGAATGGAATTTAAAGTGTCGGATGTACGACACGAATGTCTATTGACTCCAAATATGACCTGGATGCTTCCTTGCTGCAAATCTTCGGGAAGATTTGAGAAGGCAAGTGAACATAAAAAAGGAAGAAAGTCAACGGAATGATTCAAGTGATAAAGTAGAAATCAACAAGGGTAACCAGGAAAATCGGCAGAACCCATCTGTGGGCGCTTCAGCCTCAACAAATAGCAAGAAAATCAACAGCGACCCATGAGAATGAGAGAACCAAAAGCAAATCGAATCAAACCAAAAAAAGAAAAAAAAGAAAGATATTCTGTCGTATCTAACAGTACCAAACCTTGAATTCCCGATACACAACAACAGTACCTGCGACAGTGTTACTGTTATCTATCCTACAGTATCCCATGAAGTCAGAGGGAGAGAGGAGGTGGAAATAAGCGAAGGAAGAAGAAGGAGAAAAGGGAGCAAAGACAGAGGTGTCTCGAATCCAACGAAGTTATGAAGAAGAATCACTCATTTCAATGTAACCTTTCCTGCACGCATGACAACGTTGTTTTCTTACCTGCTTCACATGGAACAAAACAGAGCAGGGAGAAAGAGGGGGGGGGTTACAGTTGTTATTATTACAGTAAAGTAACATCGGCTGTGTTTCTTTCTCCTAAACTGGCGTGGTCCGCTCTACATACTCCTACACTGATGCACATATAGGGACAGAATGTAGGGGATGCCAAACACGTCCTAGTTGTCCGTAAGTCTCAATTGACGAGTTTGCCCATGGATCGGTGGCGAAGATCGTCGGTTACGAATCTGTTTTTGGACGTACGTATTGCCCCAGAACGTTTCTTGGATCGACGAGCGAAGTAAGGATCCTACGTCGACACGTCATTTTTGGAAAAAAGTTGAAACTAATTAAACGATAACCAAACAAAATGTAACGGCCTCTGTGGGAACCACAATGGGGTCCACCAGATGTGAAGCCAACATTGCATGGAGGAATTGTTTTAGGCCGCCATGAATACTGTTAATAATAATAACATTAACACTGTGTGAAACAAAGATTAAAAAAGGGAACCAAATTCGACGATCGAACCATCAATTAATCAGGCTAATGGTTTGGTTAGATTAAAAAAATTATTTGAAAAGTTAGGACACTTTAAACAGACGATTAAACTAGGAATCAAATATCTTTTTTACTTTTTTTATCAATTCTTTAAGAAAATAACTAATTTTTTTAATAATTTGATATTATGTTATATCTCATAATAAACTTAAAATATTTAATTTTATTTTTAAGTTAAATACTAATTTTATATTTATTTCTAATATTTAAATCATTATATATAAATAATTTTTAATTTAATTATTATATCACCAATTTGACAATTTATCTAATCCAATTAGACTATACGAATCATAAATCACTAGCTTTTTTAATTTAATATCTAGTTCGGTTATGAAAACATTGGTATGAAATTTATCTTGCTCAAAAAGATTTCAATTTTTTTTATTTTTAAAATTTCTTAACATATTGTTATGGACTTTGAATGTTACAATAAGGTAATAGTACTATGATTTTTTTAAAAAATAATTTTATTATGTTTCATGATACATGGCACCGAAAGAGAATTAGTTTTCCTGCTAATTAATGTGAAGCTTTTAAGACAATAAATTGAAGGCAAAGTCCTCAAGTCAAAGATTACATGAATGTGACCATTATTCTGCTTCCATCCCAAATTCATGACTCTCAGAATCTGTCTCCTTTACCGATTTATATGAAGCATTGAATGATCAAAATATAAAAGATCAACAGACAAAGTTAATTAGCATGCAGTCAGATTAAAAAAATAATAAAAAATATGACTATGTTTGAAACTGTTTTTATTATATTGCTTTGAAAACTAGTATTTTGTAAAAAGTATTTTTAAAATAATAAAAATAAGTATTTTTTCATCATCTCTTATTTTCCAATAATGATCACAAAACAATTAAAAGATATTTTAATTTTTATATTCTCCTAAACAATGTTTTTTATTTTTATTTTTTAAAATATTTTTTAAAACACGTTACCAAATATATTTTTATTTTTGATTATGAAGAATAAAAAATTGTTTCAAAAATAGCTTTCCAAACAGGCCATACATAATGTTTGGCCCTTTATTTTTTTCTCAATCATCTAGGAATTTTAATTCAAAACAATTCAATCACTATAATTTTTTAATGTGAAATAATTCAGTTCTTGTAGTTTATTAATTCAGTATAATTCATTCCCTCTAAATCATTAACTCAATAAAACCACAATGACTGTGTTATATTGAATCAAAATTTAATGATTAAATTGTATCAAAAATTTTAAGACTTAAATCAATAATTAAAGAAAATTTATAAAGACTAAATATTATATTTTCAAAGAAATTATAATGGCACACTTATAAATAGAAAGAAATTACAGAGTATGGTATTGTTCATGAACTGTTTAAATTATTATTATTATCATTGGTGAATAAAAAATGGCAGTAAGAAATTAATACCTTCACTCGTATTATTTACACTGTGATTGCCATACTAGAGATCTAGAAAAAAAAAAAAAACACACACACACACACAACATATTATTTCCTTCTTCTTCCGTCCCAACTCTCGCCTCCCTTAACTTGTTTTTTAAAATAATAATGTATTTTTAAGTTTAATATTCATGGTTTGCATGTGCACCATGTTATTTATATGGTATCAAATAAAAACACGTTACGTTATATTGCTTTAAATATGAATTGATTATATCATTAATGATGATAAAGAAAGAAAAAGTAACAAATTAAAGAGGCATTTTATTTCAAAAATGAAATTATTAAAAAAATATCACACATTCACATGATTCAACTGGTATAACTTTATTAAATAGAGTATGAATGATGTGATACTTATTTTCCATGTAAAAATTTCTTGCAAATTAATACTTTCTAAGTATCCATTTCAGTTTTGATTATGTTCAAAGTGTAAAGTTATGCTAAAATAGCAAACAATATTTGCCACTGTTATTTCCAGAAATAATACTAAAATACAAATATTGAAATTCACTTTTCTGTTCTCACCTTCCTTGGCAGGTTTGATTGTGAATTTGTTATTGTCTGTTGTCACTAAATGTCTTTTTTTTATTTATTAATATTTCCTATATATTTCCATTCAAGCAAATAAATTTCACGAATCTTGAAAGAAACTAAGAAAAACTGAAACATATAAAATATTTTTCATTAAAAAAAAATAACACGTGAAGTTTTGTGCTACTCTTTTTTCAGTCTAGAGATATATTATACAAACCATTATATAAGAAATTAATTTTTCCTTTTCAATAAATATTTTTTATTTTGCTGACTCTCTTCAATTTTACAAGACTCTACATGCGTGAAGGGAGAGAAAAGTATTCCACAGTTTTTAATGTATAGTAATAATAATAATAATTTTATGAAAATATAAATTAGGGAGAAATGAAGAGAATAAATTATTATTGAAGAAAATATAAGAAGAATAAGTCGACATACCTGTGTTGAGATTCTTAGTTACGGGGTCTTATTAGCTAGAAGCCGAGAGGGATTGTGTAAATAATTTTGACATTATCTCATTACTTAAAAATCGCAATTTGTTAAGTTCATGTATTGTATTTAATTAAGGATAATGTAATTTTTAATCTCTCAAATTTATCTCAATTATCAATTTGATTATTTAAATTTAATTTCTATCAATTTAGTCCATTGAGTTTACTTTGATTATAGATTTAATTCTCATTTTTAAAAAGTAGGTTATACTATTAAAATTTACTAACATAGATAGTAAAATATTAATGACAGTCATGCAAATTAATAAAATAAAGATAATAAATTAGGTTGAGAAAAAACAGGCTCTGAAATTTTAAAAAATAAGAGAACAAAATATAATAAAAATATTATATTAATAAAAATTAAATTAATTTGAGGATTAATTTATTTTCATTTAGCTAAACATGCATGTCAAGTTATCAAGAAACTTTACACATTAAATTATTTCAAAAGTCAATTTATATTTTAAAACGTAAAAGACTTATATAATAATTTAAAACAATATAAGGGATGATATAAATTAAATATGAGGGACCAAATTAATAATTAAAATAAATTTGAGAGATTAAAAGTTCATTATCCTATTTAATTATATATATAATTTATCTAATTGAAAGACCATTTCATTTCCTTTCGTTCTTTAATTAAGACGCAGATGGTGCAAGCGCAGGAGCCTTGACCAGTTCCAGACGTGAATCACGCAAGCATGGCAAGTTGCATTAAATGCTTTAGATCTGAGAGCGTTTACTCGCGCAACAAATTGTCGACCTTGACTTCATCTCATGACTCATATCGTACCCACGTGAGACTACGAATCAGAATACGATGAAGTCCAATCCATCATCCCGGCAAATTAAAATCGCCCCCAGCCTTATATCAACCCGGGGAAAAAAAAAAAAGAAAGGATTTGGATTCCATAGGTGGAGAGGGTGACATGTGGCAGCGTGAGAGGTGTCAGATTAAATCTATCATTGAAAATCTATGTGCTGCTAACAATCAACAAAACTATGGGTGCATAGATGATAGTAACTTCTTCATCTTCAGAGCATTGCAGGGGCAAAACTCATTTCTTTATTCCATCAACAAGCTCATTAATTGTCGTCCAATTTTTTTTAGTCATCGACCTTTGTGGGTGTTGAAGATGCCGGTAGTTTTCTTTTGACTTTCCATGCTAACAAACCCTTCTATATATAATTGTTTTGCTTTGTCGCGTTGTTTGAGGGAAAGGAAGAAACAAGAAAGTGATTGCTATTTATTGTAATGTCTGAGATTTATTTTTATTTATGTTGAGAAAAGAGGATGTTTTATTTATGCATATGTTGGAAAAGAGGATGATTTTGTTTGTGTATATGTTGAGAAATTGTATGGTTTATGGAAGAATTCCACCAGGGGCTTTGGATCGAGGAGGGAATGAGCACTGGAAAAAGTGGAACCAGCAAAATTTTAGCCGTTGATACAATCAATGCCTAATAAACTGCCACATGCCGCCATGCATTCCATGGGTGGACTAAGTCCCCGCAGGGGATTCAAATCCCAAAAAAAAAAAAAAGCAAATGGCCACTACCCTTTATTTTCACCTCACATTGCTTTCCAATTTCTTCCTGTTTGCTCTTTCTGCATTACAATATAGAGATATTTTTTAAATGCTAAGTACGTCTAATATCTTAAACTTTTTGTTGAAGCTGTGTTATTCTAAAACTTGAAACAAAAAAGGCAATACCACCTTATCGTTAAACTTACTAACATTTGACTGTTAAATTTCTTTTTTGACCAAACGAGTTTACATGTGTCATATCTTCCATCAACCTCCACTGTTCTTCTCTCCCTCTCTTTGTTGAGTTTTTTTTTTTTTTTTTTTGCTGCCAAACCAAAATCACCCAGGAAGCCTTCATCTAACATTCTAAGGCAAGTGACAATCTAGAGCTAAAACGTATGAATCTCAGCTAAAACGAAAGCCTGAAAT